GACCACCCTCCTTGCCCTTTCCATCTGCTGAGGTTACTTCATCCCAATCCATTAATGACCTTCAAAGTGCTGCTGGGGGGAGTCCATTTAGCAGAGACACTATCTTGGGGCCAAGGGTGGCGTCCAGCCCCCACCTCGCTTGTCGATAATGGGCCACAAGGTCCAACGCTTAGCTGCACTCTAGGCATAAAATATTCATTTAAGTCGACATAGTACATATGAGGAAAGTCATGGAAGCTCCTGGGAGAAGAGGAATGCCAGCCAGGTGACTAAGTGCTCAATGGGAAAGAGTTCATGAAGGCATGGGTTAGTCCTGGTCAAATGCCCACTGAGAATCAGGCTGTTCTGTCCAAAGGGGAAGCAGTCTAGTCTGAGATGTTTTTGACTCCCAAGAGCTCTAACCATGCAAACCTCTCAGAAAACAAATTCTCAGTCTCTTCCTGCCTCACAGGCATCAACTCTGTTTAAGACATTTATGCTGAAGAAAACTCAAGCCCAATCTTTGGTCGCCATCCGAAAGATTCAGTTATCCCCGTGCAAACTTGATTTTAATCTGAAGCAGGCCGAATTTCAATGACTGCCTTGTATCCATCTGTTTAGCTACTTCCCAAAGTCCACAGACTAGAGAGAAATTGTTACAATTTACTAGGTAGCTACCTTTACCAGGTTCAAAGGTTGTAGTATGGCAACTCTAGGAGCCCCTGGTCTAACAATACCTCTTCCCTGTTTCGAGGGTGAAGCAGAAAGTAAGACTATATGGTCTGACATTCACCCACACCCCTGACTAGAAGGCAGCACCACCAAGGAGCCCCTGGCCAGGGTCAAAGGGCAGAGGTCGGAGTCAGCACCCAGAGCATGGGGCTTGCTGCACAGCCTGCAGGACAGGGAGTGAAGGGAGAGCGAACCGAGCTCTCTACAAGACAACACTAAAACCAGATTACTCAGTGAAACTTTCAGCCAGAATCAACACTGGGATCCAGGGATATGTGTGTTTGGAGCGGCTCAGTGGTTCTGTACGGGATTCTAAAAGTTAGATTTGCTCTCACCCACACTTCCAAACTCCTCTTCCCAGAACCATCTGAGAGAAGAAACAATGCCACTCACTCCCTGGAAGGACAACAGCAGACCCCTCCCTGGCCCACTGCAGCAGAGGCAGAGGCAGGTGGGCAGTGAAAGCCTCTTGCTTTCTCTCAGGTGCTTTCTCTCAGGAGCCCTCTCTTGTGGTTCCTGAGGCCCAGAGGTGGGGCAGGTATGAAGCCAATGTAGGCCCTCTACCAGGTGTTACAGGAAGCTTTCGCCAGCGGCAGGTGGACTCTGCAAGTTGGACCCCTCTCCACTTGCCTATTACTGCTGCTGCTGGCTGGAAGACAAACAGTCATCTTGCTGATTGCTTTCACCACTGCCAAGCCTCCAGGCCAACAGAGCCATTTGGAAAAGTGAACAGAAAGCTCAGCTCTCAGATTAAGAATGCCCAAAACTACCAGCCCCAGGTCACAACCCTCTTTCTGCAAAAGGAAGAGTCTATGACTGTGAAAAAGCACATCTGCAATCAGGTGTCACAAAAATCACAATAAAGACAGGGCTTAACTTTCTTTTTATCTCCTACTTTCACTGTTAGAAGCAGAGTCGACAGCAAACAGGCAATCTCTCTGCAACACTAGGTTTATTTTTATGCTTCAACATTTTGTGTGTGTGTGTGTCTGTTTAATTCAGATGTGATCAAAGAGCTCCTAGAAACAGCTTCTCATCAGCCACATGTTTTAAAGAAAGGGGGAGAGAAAGAGCAAGAGATTGGAGCTCGAAGACAACCAACAGTTTGTTTACCTATTTTCTTGTGAAACCAATTAAAATAATTTAAATCTAAATAAGATAATAGAGGAACTTTGTTATTTTTATTTTATTATTATTTTTTTTTTTGCGGTACGCGGGCCTCTCACTGTTGTGGCCTCTCCCGCTGCGGAGCGCAGGCTCCGGACGCGCAGGCTCAGCGCCCATAGCTCACGGGCCCAGCCGCTCCGCGGCATGTGGGATCTGCCTGGACCAGGGCACAAACCCGCGTCCCCTGCATCGGCAGGTGGACTCTCAACCACTGCGCCACCAGGCAAGCCCAGATAATAGAGGGCCTTTGGGGGAAAGAAATCAAACCAACCAAATCCCCTTTTTATTTCACAACATTAAGGCTTATGCAATGACCATTTTAGCTAGAATCGCAACAGGACCGAGAAGAGCTTTCTGGTCTCACCTGGTGGCATGATCTAGCCCAAAGGAGACCAGTGCTTCAGGCCTCTCTAGCCGTATGACCAGAGGAGGTGCTACTTGTCTCTTTTCTTGTTTTAAAAAATACTGCATCTATGAAAAAAAAAAAAATACTGCATCTGCCCATTATGTTTTTCGAAATCCACGCTTTTACTGGAATGAGACTTAATATCAAGTCAATGGTGTGGCTACCCTGAGAACGACAGAAGGACCAATGAAGCGGCTCAGGGGAACCTAAATCCATGGAGTGGAAACAGGATGAGTAATTCATAATTTGGAACAGGGTGACAATGTATGCAGCCAGTGCTCTGGACAAAGTTATCAGGAGCAGCTTACGTTCCCAAATGGTTCACAGAGTTCTGCTATCACAAAATCAGTAGGCGTGCACTGGGTTCCTACTATGCGCTCAGCATTATGTGAGGCTTGTAGGGAAGAGAGGAAATCAATGCACACATCACAAGAAAAAGACCAAGGCAAGAATACATTTACATGGAGTAAAGAGCACAAAGAAACCACATTGAGGCACTCTGTTACTCTACTTTGCTGAATACAATGCCCCCCACAGCCTTGCTGAGAGAGTAGGCACTCCACCGCCACTCCCCAGATGCCTGAGGGTGCCAGTCAGTCACTTGGCCTCCTCCTACCAGCTCAGAATCAACAGCCTGGGAAAGTCCTCTGGTTAAGCAGGGTTTACCTGCTAAATAAAGGCTGTGATAGGAAAAGGAATGGAACAGGCAACCTCAAGAGGGCCTCGAGAAAGTGGTTCCCAGTAAGGAGAGAAACAGCTGGCACTGGAGGGAAAGACGGTGAGATACAGACCATGCTCCAGTTTCCAAACACCTCAGTCCCATACAGAAGCAGCTGCCAAACCCGCTGATGAAACGGAAATCAACCATCACTCCCTCTCAACCCATCTCAACCCCAGAAGCAAGCAGTCAATCCATCAGTAACGAAAGGGTCAACCACTGCAGAAAAACTTATCCAGAACTCCTCTTGAGTTCCTGACTGCCCAGATGACAGAGAGTGAGGGGGTAACAGAAGAGAAAAACATCAGAGAAATGAAAAGAGGGTGGATTTTTCAGAGAAAGGTGTTAATATGCAAGAGAATATAACAACAGTTCTATTGCACTAAGGAGAAAGAAGGAAACAAGATGAAAACATAAATAATGTAGTGAGGGAGAAGGATGCAAAAAGCACTTCAAGCCCCACAGGAGAAGAGCTCTTTTTTCAGGTCAAGTTTTTTTGGCCTAGTAAAGTTCTCCACCAAGTTTTTTTTGGCCTAGTAAAGTTCTCCACCAAGGTATGGCAGGCAGGAGACTCTCCACAGAGCAGGCAGCAAGGGACACTAGAGATGGTGAAAGAAAGGGGAGGGGTGGAAAGTGGACGCCTCTCGGCTAAGAGGTGAGATGACACAGAAAAGGCTAAGGCTTGGGTGACAGATGATAGCAGTGATTGCCAGGATGAGGGGGAAGTGTGTAGCTCAAGAAACTAGCGTGCAAAGTTCCTGGCCCGGGGGGTTACAAAGACTAGCCAATCACAAGGGGATGGATAGGGGCATATATGGGAAAAATAAACATGAAGTGAAGAAGGCAGGAAACTAATATGAAGATTAAAGGCAATCCTAATTAAGAGGCATAGTAAGTAAGATGGGGTGAGGGCAGAGAAACCGGAAGGCAACAAGCAAGGGGGAAAAACTATGTAAAGTGACAGATCCAGGAGTGAAGAAACAAGAAAGCCTCACGGTTTGTGTTGCGGTGCAAGAGGACAGGAAGGCAAGGCCGGGGATGCGGCAAGGCCGGGGAAAGGACCGAGCAACAGGCTGTGTAAACGAAGTGGGGCTGAAATAGTGACTGTCTTTCCCTCGGTAGGGAGAGCCCAGGGAGAAGGCTGGTACAGCACTCACAGTGAGAAACAGGAGGCCAAGACTCAAAAACACAAACCCCAGAGGAAGAGAACGTGAGGGAACCAAAGACTCTGAAGGGAGTGAAGACTGGAACCCCAAAGACAACCTGTGGGAAAACTATGCGCATGACAGCTGTACGGGAAAACACGGAAGCAACAAATGCCAGCGCGAGGCACCAGGGAGCTCCTGGAGAAGAGAAGGGAAAGTGATGAGCAAAGAGTAGGCGAAAGATTTGGAAAGGTGATGAGGGTGGAGCTGGTGGGTTGCAAGCAAGAGGGAGAGCACAATCTGGAAAATGCAAGAGGCAGGGTAGAAAGCCGGGGAACTGACAGGGGACAGGCATCGAGAACACACTCCGGGGCAAGGACCCTGAGGGTGAAAGCTGGGACTGGGAGAACCGGTGCGGGCGGAGGGGAAGCGAGGCTGGAGGGATGGAGGAGGAGGAGGAGGACAACGACCTGGGGCAAATCGCAGGGTGCCAGTCGAGGAACAGGAGGGTGGCTGCTTTAAGCGTGGGTGGAGGAAGACCAGAAAGGCCCCCGAGAGAAAAAGGGAAGAGAAGAGGAAGCTGGGGAGGTAACACGGAAGAGCGCAGGAGGGCGGGGAGGGGAGAGGGGGGGGGGGGGGTCGGCAGAAAGACAAGTGTACAGCTTGGAGTCTGGACGAGGTGGGTCCCAGGAGAGGACTCGGAAGGGAGATGTACGGGGCCAGGAGCCAGATGACAGGGCAGCCGAGGCTTACAGGATGGCAGCAGGGGCACGAGGGGAGCTGAGGAGGGAGGAGGCTCTGCAAGGTGCAGGGGCCCAGCCAGAGAATTCGGGGAGCCCTTGGGGCTCCTTACCTGCTCGGTGTCCCTCTCGTTCAGCGTGGGTAGGGGGGTCCGGGCGCTGGACATGGCGCCGGTATCTCAGGGGAGGGAACCGAGAAGCTCGGAGGAAGGGAGGGAAGGGAAGGCGCGGAGCCCGGCCGGGCGGGGCTTCTCACAGCAGGGGCACCCGCCGCATGGGCCCCGGCCGGGGGTGCGGGGAGGCCGGACTGCCGCTCACGCCAGCCCGGGGATGCGCCGCTCGGGCTAGGCCGCGCCGGCTCCGAGCGGCTCCGGACCGCACCCCCCCGACCCCCGGCTGGGCTGTGCCGCCTTTCGGCCGGGCCGCGCCGCTCCGCCTACTCTCTGCCGCCGCAGCCGGCCGCCTGCCTCGCTCCTCCCCTGCCCTCAGCGGCACTGCTCCGCGCCCGGCACACAGGCAGCCGCCGCCGGACCTGCTGCTCCCAACATGGCCGCCACCACCGCCGGCCCTCGGCTCTTTCCGCCGGCAGCAGCCGGAAACATCCGAAGCCGCTAGAAACGGGAGGGGGGCGCGCCTTCTCCTCCCGGCCACGGACTACTGGTGAATTCCGGAAACACCCGAAGAAGGTAATCCCGGGGACGCGCGCGCCTCCTCGATTCCGAAGACCAAGCTTCGGCTCTGTTTGCGGAAATCCACGAAGGGACTCCGGGTACTCCAGCCACGCCCACAGGCCTTTCCCCGCCCACTTCCAACTGGCTCTCGGCAGTTTCCGGAAACACCCGAAGCCGCCCCGCTTGCCTTGAGCCGGCCCCGCCCGCATCCCGCCCCGCCGACCGCCGGCGGTCGTCGGCCATTTCCGGCAACACCCGAGGCCGGGCGAGCGTCGGGTCATTCCCTCGGGTGGTACCCAAAGTCTGACTCTTCGTTTCTTTCCGTCAGTTTTCGGGTATTTTCAAACCTTGAACAGGGAGCGTGGATCACGTGTGCGTATTACCATTTGACTAAACAGAAAATAAGGCTGTTAGCCATCCCTGCTGTTGGCATCCTTTGGTTCTAAGGCAACTTCCTGTCTGTGTGTCCTTTCGTCTCTCAGCTAGCTCATTAAATACATCTTGTTTATCATCCAGCCTGTCTATCAACATGTGTGTCACCTGTCAGATGCAGCGTTAGTCTATTACCTGTCTACCTACCGTTCATCACCTGCTGTCATCTATCTTGGCTTCTATTTATCTATCCATGCACCCCACATCTAGTCCACAGGGCTCCTCAAGGTACCAGGCAAGCACCAGGTAAACGTCCTTGGCTTCCAGCTGCCGGACCTGTACGGATACCCCAGCCCTGCATTCCACCTCCAGCTGTGTGTAGTGAAAATGCTGTGTGATCTTGGAAAAATCACATAACATCTCTGTTTAGACTCCTCAACGTTCCTATATTGACAGAATCCATGCCTTTGTTCCAGTGATGACATTCTAAATAACATCTTTGAATTTGTTACCTTTTTTTTCTTTCAGAAAAAGTCTTTTGCTTGTTCAAAACAGCACAAAACGGCATTGCACTATGGCAATGAGTCTCACCAGATCCCTTTTAACTATCCCTGTGAGGTAGAGCAGGAGAGACATTATCTTAATTCACATTTCAGTTATCGCTTCTAAGACAAGGAACTCATGGGAAAGAAAAGAGAAACTGGTTGAAAATGAGGATTCCTCAAGATGGCACAAAGAATGGACACCTAGAGAGGTTCCTTTTCTTCTCTGGCCTCAGTTTCCCCATCAATGAATTGAGGTCACTAGATTCATGAGCTCTGAGGTCCCTCTCATCTCTGGAGAGCCCCTGACTTTAACAGGAAGTCCATGTGGCAACCTGAGTTCACTCTTCACTTCCTCCTAGACTGTCTCACCAGGGAGGGGCAGTAGGCTGACTGGTCTGATTCCTCGGGCTCTAAGCTGCCCCCACCCATTGTATCCTGGACATGTTGAAAAACCACCACTCCCAAACCTACCCTAAGTTCAACAGCCGATAAGGTAGGCAGAAGCCAGAGTCCCCACAAGAGCCAGAGACCAAGCTCAAGTAACAAGTTCCCAAAGGTACAGGAGGAGAGAGGCCCAAGGGCTTGTGGGGAAAGATTGCTGGTTGGACCTCTGACACTTGACTTCCAACTCCAGCTACAGCTTATTGAGCAGAGCCCTTGGCTAAGTCAACCAGAGAAATAGGCAGCCAGACAGAAGCAACGAGAGGATGGTATGAACATACTTCCTAAGGCAACAGGTATGACCTACAGTCCTAGTAAATGCTCGGGACTCCATGACACCTCCTCATGCCCCACCTCAGCTCCATTCAGGCATCCAGCCCTTGAGGAAGAAGTCGGTGAAAGAACACAGAAGGAGGTGAGAGGGAAAAAAGAGGAAGAGGTGAAGCCAGAGGACATTCCCCGACCCCAAATTCATCCGGAAAAATCCATGAGAATGATGTGCCCTCTGGTGGCCAAAGGGAGACTCACTGGTGATTCCTGTGCCCCGGGTAACCTCCAAGGCTGGGGTCCCTGGAATAAGGGAAAAGGGGAGGGGGTTGGAGGAGCAAAGGAAGGTGCACTCAGGGGTCTTCCCCGGCCCCTGTCTAAGCAAACTTGACTAAGCAAACTCTACATCCTCCATGCTTCTACTCACTCAAGTTCTCATCCCTGCACTCTGCCCCTTAGTCCCTGCCTCCATCCTACCTGTTCTCTCCTCTTCCTCACAAGGCTGTCTAACAGGTCTCCCTGCCTAGAGTCCCTCCAACCTGCCCCACCAGCCATGCCAGAATAATCTTCCTAAAGTCCAGCTCCAGTTACATCTCTGCCCTGCTAGAAGGCTCTCACCAGCTCCCTTGTGGGTTAGGCAGGCTGATTTCATGGGCCTGTGACCTGTGCAGTCACATAAAAGCCCCACACTTAAGAAGGGCTTTGAGCTTGATTTCATGCTCTACTGTCACCCCTCTTGAAATTTTTACCAAGGGGGCCCTGCATTTTCATTTTGCACTGGGCCCCACAAATTTTGTACCTGGTCCTGGTGCTAGGAAAAGACTTTGGCCTGCATTGAAACCTTTGCACAGTCTGGCCTCAACTTACCTTGTGAATATCCTCTCCAACTAGGTATCACTGGTTGACACCTCCCTGCAGTTTGTGCCCTGCCACCAAGCTCTCTCACCTTCACGCTTTTGTTCAGGCTGATCGATTGCCAGTCACCTCCCTCACCTGGAATTCTAGATGTCCTTCAAGATCCAGTTCAAATATCGTCTTCTCATACCCACCTAGTCCTCTTCAAAGATTAATTATTACCACACATTTACCTCCCTCTAATCTGCAAACTCATTCACTCATAAATCTCTGTTGAGCATCTACTATGTGCAAGGCACTGTTCTAAGCTCTTCAGATATATCAGTGAACAAAAGATCTCTGCCGTTGGGGAACTTACATCTCGACTGGGGAAAGACAGGCAACAAACATAATACATGACAGTAAATATTAAGTGCCATGGGGAAAACCTAGTCAGCTAAGGGGGGTCAGGATTGCAGAAGTGAGGTGAAGGGATGCAAAACAAGTTGCAGTTTTAGGCTGGTCAGTGCAGGCTTCACTGAGAAGGTGACACTTGAGCAAAGACTTGAAGGAGATGAGGGAGTGAGCTCTGCCGCTGTCTGGGGGAAGAGCATTCTAGGCAGAGGGTGCGGCCAGTACAAAGGTCCTGAGGCAGGTGCGGGCCTGGCTGTTTGAGAGTGTGGGGGTAAACAGTAGGGGAAGAGGGCAGAAAGGTGATGTGGAGTCAGGCCTGGTGGGCCGCTGCTTTGGCTTTTTCTTGTAGTGAGGTGGGGAGCCACTGTAGTGACATGACCTGACTGGCTGAGAATAGAGTGAAGGGGCAGGGCAGGGTTTCCTTCTGGAAACCCTGAGGAGGCTTTTATGACAATTCAAGTGAGAGATGACCATGGCTCAGAGCAAGGCAGCAGTGGTGGAAGTAGTGAGAACTGGTCAGATTTGTGATAGATACAGCCAACAGGATTTCTTTCTTTCTTTTTTTAAAAAATCAATTTATTTATTTATTTTTGGCTGCGTTGGGTCTTTGTTGCTGCGCATGGTCTTTCTCTAGCTGCAGCGAGTGGGGGCAACTCTTTGTTGCGGTGAGCGGGCTTCTCACTGTGGTGGCTTCTCTTGCTGCGGTGCACGGGCTCTAGGCACGTGGGCTTCAGTAGTTGCGGCACGCAGACTCAGTAGTTGTGGCTCACGGGCTCTAGAGCGCAGGCTCAGTAGTTGTGGTGCATGGGCTTAGTTGCTCTGTGGCATGTGGGATCTTCTCGGTCCAGGGCTCGAACCCGTGTCCCCCGCATTGGTAGGCGGATTCTTATCCATTGTGCCACCAGGGAAGTCCCCGGACAGGATTTCTTTTCTTTTCTTTTCTTTTTAATATATAAATTTGTTTATTTATTTTTGGCTGCATTGGGTCTTCCTTGCTTCTTAGGGGCTTTCTGTAGTTGTGGTGAGCGGGGGCTACTCTTCGTTGAGGTGCGCGGACTTCTCATTGCAGTGGCTTCTCTTGCAGAGCACGGGCTCTAGGCACGCGGGCTTCAGTAGTTGTGGCACACGGGCTCAGTAGTTGTGGTTTGTGGGCTCTAGGCGCGTGGGCTTCAGTAGTTGTGGCACACGGGCTCAGTAGTTGTGGCTTGTGGGCTCTAGAGAGCAGGCTCAGTAGTTGTGGCGCATGGGCTTAGTTGCTCTGCGGCATGTGGTATCTTCCTGGACCAGGGCTTGAACCCATGTTCCCTGCATTGGCAGGCGGATTCTTTTTTTTTTTAATAAATTTATTTATTTTATTTATTTACTTTTGGTTGCGTTGGGTCTTCATTGCTGCACACCGGCTTTCTCTAGTTGCGGCGAGTGGGAACTACTCTTCGTTATGGCACGCGAGCCTTTTGTTGCAGTGGCTCCTCTTGTTGCGAAGCATGGGCTCTAGGCGCACGGGCTTCAGTAGTTGTGGCACGTGGGCTCAGTAGTTGTGGCTCGCGGGCTTAGTTGCTCTGCAGCATGTGGGATCTTCCCAGACCAGGGCTCGAACCTGTGTCCCCTGCATTGGCAGGCGAATTCTTAGCTACTGCACCACCAGGGAAGTCCCGGCAGGCGGATTCTTAACCACTGTGCCACCAGGGAAGCCCCCGACAGGATTTCTTGATGGATCGGTTTAGGAGTTATGTGAGAGAGAAGAGCTAAGGATAATTCCAAGCTTTCCAACCTGAATAACTGAAAACAAAACAAACACAAAAGTAAAGGCTCTACCACAAGCCCCAGACCAGGTAGAAACCAATGGATAGGACCTGTGGTCCAGGGCAGCCATGTTGCCCACTGGAATCAGGGAAGGCAGGGGTCACAGATCCCCAGCACCAGAGGCACAGGGGCCTTAGGAGAGCAGTCCCCTGCATGGATGGGCCAGGAGGGGAAAAGCCAAAGGGAGCCCAAGGTGCTGGATGGAAGACACCTTCATTCTCACCCCTGTGAACCATTGCAACTCTTCTCCATCTTTCTCCTCCCAACCAGTGAAGCCAGAAAGCCTGCTCAGGCAGGCCAGGCCGGGGGGTAAGGAGAGTGGTCCAGAATTGCCCTCTGATCAAGAGTCAGGTAACAGGGTGTGGCAAACCCACACATGCCCTCTGACTCACAGAGA